GCCAATAGGTAAATGAGTATATACCCAGACAGGTAGGAGACCTTCCCATTTGTAAGGATGATCATTTGATGCTCAAACAGTGGCCGTCGAGGGAAGTGTTCCAAGTCAAGGCAAGTCAACAATGCGCTGTATGCATCCCTGGAGAGTGAAGATGCAGCTACAACACACATGCTAAGGGAGGAAAAACGTTAAATAAAAATATGACAAATGAATATGGTGCGCCATAAATTTGTAAAGGTGGCAATGGTGATATTATCGAATCAGTGTGGCAATAAGGTCTAGTTTGGCTACATCTTGATCACTCAGAAACGTGACAAATAGGGAACAACTGACGTAGCATAAGCCCATCTGCGGGCACGAGGGTTTATGTACGTTTGCATGGTCGTAGAAGTGGATATACTCCGACAATGTAAAATGAAGAACGTAACGCATTAATGAGTATGCTGGACGCCAGTATTTCGCAGAAGTGAAGGTGATTTTAAACACAATGAGGTTAGTAAACACTAACATTGAAAATCCGCCACATCAGACAAAATGGTTTAGTGACCTGTTGATCACTTTGAATTGCCCTTTTAAGGGTCTAGGAAGAATCACAGGTGAGTAATATGTCCAGTGCGGTAATACGCAAGCGGTGACAAACCGTAAAACCAACTAAGGAGGTATGGATGAAGACCTAAGTCGGATAACATAGAACGATAGTCCCTTAAGCTTAGTGAATGTTTCGTCCACGTACTGGAACCACGTGAGATCTCGACTTAATGTAACTCATAAGTAGTTCACTTATGTATAGGAGTTCAGACTGAGACTGCCAATACTAATATGGGGTATGCGTGTGTGTATGTGTGAGGAGTAGTTAAAAACAATTTTCTTTTGGACAGCGAGAAAAGAACATCTTAACATTTTGATGCGTTGAGGGAAAGACAGCGGGATTTGGACTAGGCGGTGAGATTGTCCAAGAAGCATTGTAAATTGGCCGATGAATCTATGATGTGGTTGTGTACATCAAGGATCATATCATCAGCATATTTAAGCAGGATGGCTTCCATTGGATCGGGAATATAGTTAATGTAGGTGGAAAATAGAGATGGGAAGAAAACAGCTCCCTGAAGAACACCAGAAATTGTGGTGAGTGAGGAAGAGCTTTTTCCCCCGATCCATGGTAAACTGTGTATGATTGGCAAATTAATCTGTAAGGAAAAGTACCAGTGAAGCTGAAACCAGAAAAGAGCAGATAGTGTAACAACAGCTCGCAGTTTACACAACCGAAAGCGTTGCTGTAATCCACTAGTATGTTGGATGGACATAAGGAAGGTCTCTTTATAACATTCCTGGTATGAAAACACATTTAGAATGTCGACACCAGCTTGCTGCGCTAATTTTTGTTCGAATTACCGATATCACTATATCTTTGTTATTAATGGGCGATTTCTGAAATACTGTACATGGGAGATAAATTGCTGTTTTCGACTGTAATTGCTAACTGTTGGCAGTGGGAGCGCAGCATATATGTTTATTAAGTGGCATGCAGGCATTTGCACATACACCATTTACATCCGCTTTTCACGCTACAGACTGGTAGAACGCTACTGTTGTTGAGGAATATAACCGAAAGCGAGCGGTTGGTTTGTTAGGTAAGAAATGTCAAGGAGCCACCTTGCAGATAGCGTCCAAATCATGGATGGTAAATGGCGGGCTACGGCAGTTACGATTTTGGCCGTGGAAAAGAGCATGAAACCTTTTGGAATTGGGATGTATATCATCTCACTGTTTTCGATTCAAAACCATCCTAAGGAATAATGCGGCCAAGAGCAAAAAGAACACAAGGTTATGAAATGAGTTGCTAGCGATGATCGTGGCGATCGCCGTGACGAGGATCAACGCGGCTGGATGGAAGGACTAGTAAAGTTGCCCAAGACAGAACGGGGGACGAAATAGTAAAAGTGACAGCTGGGCAAAAGGATGGGGACATAAACGGAAATATCATAGTGTGAAATGCAGAAACTAATGGCCAAATGTACGAAACAACGTGGATATGATAGGAATATAAGAAACAATGAGTCAGTTCTACTTCATATAGTGACAATGTAGCTCGCTGAATCGAAAGGCTAACCGAACTGTTTGGGTTATCGGAGTGAAACAATGCAAGCGGAATACGAACCATGGGGTCAAGAACAAGCAAGTGATCTGTAGCTCCTGGTGTACCCAAAAAACAAATCAGTGCAGTTAGGAGTGGCAAAAACGGCCGAAGTGAAGAAAATTTGGCAGCGAACATGTCCAACTGGCTCAACAATCATTTAATCAGAGAAATTCAGTCATAATGAGAGAGTCCAAAAAGGAGAGCCGCTGTGGAAAACAGCCAGTCGCTTTACAAAAACTCAAAAACGTAAAAATGATGGACGACAGCATTCAAGGACAAGTTGAGTTCAGTAGTGAGTTTGCAGCAAATGATGCGGTTGAAAACCGAACGAGAAGACAAAATGAGCAGAACGAATAAAAACACGCTTTGAATTTCCCTAAGTGAAAAAACAAAGATTTCCAATCCCGAAAAATAAAAGCACAGCAACGAAGTAAGGTTTCGTTCATTGCAGTTAAACAATCATGATCCGAGCACCGAAGTGCGGTGGATCCAGTTATTACGGCTCACGTCGCCAGATTAAGAAGAAAGAACAAGGGTACACAGAATAGAAGAGGTGCGTAAAACTAATCGAGGTGGAATAAGTGTTTTCAACTAGATACAAGAAATCTAGTGCAGGTGATCCACTTGCTGCACGGTGATTTCATGTGGAATCTCTTCTAAGATAAAAGGTGGAACATTAACATGACACGTTGGTTCGGATGGTTCATTAAGCGAGTGTCGCAGCATGCCTACTAGACTGCTCTTCAAAACGTACCACCCAACGGCCTAGTTCATATGTCCCTTTAACAACACTGTGACGTGGCGGATGTGACTTGCCACTAAATTAAGTCATTGCCCCTTGCCTCCCTCATATATATATATATATATATATATATACATATATACATATATACATATATATATATATATATATATATATATATATATATATATATATATATAGGTCATTTGGCTGAGAATAGATCAACCGTAAACCTTTCTCAGCTATTGTTTCACTAACTGTGGGTTTTCGTGGACCTATGTTCCGGTTAAATTGGAGCATTGCTCAGCTGTTCCAAATGTAAATGGTTTTCTCTATTTCACAAACCTCTGAAATGCATGAAAGCTCCCAGCCAATTCTAAGACTCCTGGTCAGCTAGTGAGACCATGGACCCAAAAGAACCAGTTTACGTACTCACATCAAACTGGTCGATAACGCAGAGCACCAATCATAATATAGTGTGCATGCATCCGCCCATCGAGGATCACGGCAACAATAATAACCAGCAATGGTTGAGAAGGTGAAACAGTGATAGCACCAAGGAAAGCTGAATAAAAGGACTGAGAAACATGAGCACTAGATTGAGGAGCTAGTTGGCAGCGACAATAGACTGACTGCCAGGAATTTATGATTCGCGAACACCTAAAATCAAAAAACTGTAACTACAGAGGTGGACCATATTATCGGCCTTAGCAGAGTGTCAAAAACTGATGACTGCCCGCTTCGAATGTGTTTCCGCTGCAGGTATAGTTGCAATGCAAAAAGAGTTGAGAGCAGGGTTGCGCGTCATTTTTGTTGTTTCAGGAGAGATGAAACTACAGACCTGTGGTAAACAAGAGGATTGTGTCAAGGTCATGCACCACTTGAGTGAGCAGAATGGTAGTTTACTGCGCTCATTCCAACGTCGAGAGTGAAATGTTTAGTTACCCACACATTGTGACAATGACTGGCAATATCGCATAAAAGGCTCGACTCAATGTACGAGAGATTTGGATGTCACCGGCAACGATACGAGGTTTGTCCTTCACCTCAGAAAAAGGCAGCAAGCACAGTGGAGCAAGCAGTCGAAAATGATAATTGTTGTAGAACAATAGTCATATTTATCAACATCCAATAGTCACTTCTGCCAGATCGTGTCAAAAAAGTGGAAAGAGAATAGGGGTGCGGCTGAAGCGATGCGTCGTGCGTGCTCTTGTTCAGCTCCGCCGGTTAAAGCGGCTAAAGATTCAGAAAAGAATGCGAACTTTGCTTTTAGTGACAAGAAAGCCACCAGATGGTAAATGATAAGGGGAATAAATAAGTGACCTCAGCAAGATGGCTCAGACTCCAACAGTATAAAAGCAGATCGATGCGACAAGATCCTGATCGTAAAATGGGGGCAGCATCAGCAGAGCACCGGTAAGATAAAGAGGTAGGAAAGTGCAACAAAGTATAGAGAAATATCATGCGCGTTGTTACTGAGTAATAGGGGGTTTATTGGGTTTCTGTGAAGATTCATCCCAGCTAGGCTCAGACGAACAGCCACTACACATCCAGTAATCCCCTTAGGAGCTTACATGCCACTTAAATTGGTGGTGCTTTGCAAGGGAAGCCGTCGACCTGGGGGCCAATCCTGTCCGCTGCACGTTCATAGCATGCATGACGGTTGAGGATGAGCCGCACTATATCGCAGTTAGACATGAGTCATGGCGGTCCGTTGCCGTTGCACATTGCGCAGTGGCATAAGTCGTTGGCTCGTAAGAGTAAGGTCGTGAGTTCGAATCCGGCAAGATTCGGTGGATGCGCTACTAATGAGTCCCAATAGGACGAACGGCCGTCCAGCGCTTTCCTGGATGTGTTGTAGCCGTCTGCCTGGGTTTAGCTGAGATGAATCTTCACAAAAGCATGCACTTTGTTGCCAAACGCCTTCTTCATGCTCAAATTTTGAAGCACGCCACCATGGAAGGAGTAACAGGACATGTGTCGGTGTTGTGTAGCATGAGAAAAAATTGATCGCCAACATGACCTAAGCGGCAATACAATGCCAGTGTAACGGATGTACCAAACAGTAATGAACATGGGAAAAACCTAGATAAATAACCATGCTAAACTAGGTAAACTTACATTGTGTCACTGGATTTACGGTCTGCGTGACATTTTCCAATAGTTCCGTCTCTGACAATTCGTCTTCTCCACTCACTGTAAAAAGCAGAAACAAAGTGAACCGGTATGAATATGGAAGAGACTCTGAAGAAAAAGGCCTAGATTGTTGCAAATATATATAAATACATATAGAATCCGAAGCAATGGAGGTGCGAAGTTATGAAAAACCTGAAAGCGGTCATGAGTCGGTCGACGGTAGAGTAAAATGTTCTAAGTGTTGGGCAACCAAAAGCAACCGTATGATGAGTTACGTGATCACTCAATTGGTTGTCTTGGATTTATGCAAACAAATGTGAAAGTTATATAAAGGGAGAACGGTCTGGGTGCCTGGAAATGAAGAAAGCACTCCTACTCCTATACAATGCATAAATTATGTGTTGGAAGAATATCGATAGCACGGATAAATAAATTGCTTTGTGTTCAGAAACAATTATCGGTCAGCAATAGACTGCCTTGGGGATAGGGGTGATAACCCTGTCTCACTTATCACGTGTTGGTCTATTTGTCTGTTTGTATGTATGTTTGGTCGCACCCTTCACTGAATAAATATTATTGCGAGTTATTGTTAAAGGCACTGATGAGACAATACGAAATGCGTGCATTTGCCAGTCTTCGTCTTCTTACTGCGCTTTTCAAATAACTAAAGGGAACTAACTGTTTCAAATTGGGTATGATCAACCGGCAACTGGTACATTTATCACGTGAGGCAAACAATGCAGACCTACGCCGAGATCAAAAGGAAGTAGCGAAGTTCGAGGAAGGGTAGAAAAAGGGTGTGATAATGAATACCTATTAGTAGGATACCAATGATGAAAACTAGAAAATAAACGAGGCTAGGGGAAGACGCAAGGAAACGCAAATGTACCAACCGACAGAAAACGAAGTCGAAGTGGAGTAGTTTATTCTAATCGCAACAGCCTAAGAAACACGCGGGGAAAGGGAAACGCGATCAAACAATACGACTTCTCAGTATTTGACAGAATGACTTCTGTGAGACAAAGTGAAGAGTAAAAAGATCTTACATTCTGGACTCATTTCCAGCGAAGTGTCCAAGCAAGAGGTATCCAGCACATCTCGAGAGAACGCAGTCGGATCAATGCCGAAAAGGTGTTTCTGAGAAGATAAAGAAAAAAAACTTTCGGTGGATGAAGAATGAGTAGTTACAATGCCACTATCGTCACCATAACCACGAGTGCCCATAGGAACGCAGAAGTAAAGTAGGCGAGCAACAACCTCCTTTGCGGTTTCTGAGAGAAATTTGTAGTCCGACAAAGGCAAAGTGGGACAAGCTGGAAGACGAACCAGCACGCGCTGTGGTAGTACCATTCGCGGAACTGAAAGGATAAAGGGAACTGAGGATAAGGAACGTATAGAATGAACAAGACGGCGATGTGGATGGCGTGCAAGTAGTGAAAAATTCCCCGGCACCAATTAGGACCGTCAATAGCACGCAGTATGTGACGCATACCAAGCCTGACTGAATGCGGAAAAGGACACAAAAAAGCGTATTGATGGTTGCCGGAAGATCGCAGTAGGTGAATGAGCCAGAAGAAGTTATCTATTAGCAAAAACAACCCAATTACAGAAAGATGAAGGATCAAGACAATTAATAACAAAAATTGAGCTAAGTGAAACAAAATCTGAGGGGGGGGGGGGGAAAGCACAGGGCGAGAAGAAACAGGAGAGGTTTGTTATGCTTCGTCTAAATGAACACCTAAACATCGGTGCACGCTAACACGAGGCTTCCAATAAGGAAGACGGTAAGAATTTCCCTCATTGATCGGGTTCCCAATCCGAGTTGTAGCTTAAAGTGTACATCCCAGCCGAGTCAAGCAGCCAACCAACGAATGAGGAAGTAAAACAGAACGAACGTAGAAAGGACAATGTTGAGAAATGGTCTACTGAAAACACAAGGGAACAGGAACACCTCAGAACCGCCAGTTTGGCTGCCCCACCATACGTGAGTATTATTCTGCAGATGGGGTAAATGATCGGCAGTCATCCAATGTACTCTAAACATAGCGGCTACGTAACTGATCCATGTTATCACAACAACCGCAGTGCCCCACTGTAAGCCATGACGTAGAAGTATCTTTGCCTCATCAAGGTAACAAAACCAGGTAACAGCGAAATATCTCCAGGCCCACCATCCGCCAAGAGAAAGATCGAGGAAAATAATGACTAGCAACCACCCCAGTTGAAATACGAGCCTCAATGCTTAGGGAGCACGTCCTCGACCTATGAATTAAGGGTCGGTATACTGCACTGTCTGCAACGTCACAATTTTACAGACACAAGAAAACAGCCACTTTTAATTTTGATCATGCTGCCTTCAAGCTACGTCTTCTGATTTTTAGTTCGTTAGATCCATAAGTAGCAACACATTTCCTACCTTATTATTGTACACATGAGTATACCCAACATAAGGTCTGGTTTTATATTGCGAATATACCGTAAAAGTTACCTGAGCTGACAACTCAAGGGACTGGGCCAGTGTTCAACATCCAGAAGTGATTAAGATACAGAGATCTGGATCCATAAAGTTTACATGGCGAACGTCCCAGCAATGAGAAAATAAAATGGGCAACTTAGACAGACGATCAGGAGATAGAGGTAGTCACTTTCAGACCTCTTCTGTATAAAACGGTAAGCCTCATAGAGCCTTTCGCCAGTCAAATATTTTGAACACTGCACGCCACGCAACTACGCACTGATGATGTCATATCGATTGGTGACAAACCTTCACAAGAAAATTGCCAACCGCAACGAACAGTTCAACCACCATCTGAACAACCTGAGCTACCAGTCATCAAGTGTATAAGTGATATTCTCTCATTGTCAGACATAATTCGCGGTATTCGTGTCCTGTGGTAATCGAGCTAGGCTGTATTCTTTTGTAGCCGATGGCCGAGGTAGGAAGCCAGAGGAACAACGGCCTACTTACAATGTCCAGTAAAGAGGAGACTAGGCTGAATGGTCTGACTCGTATCCATTGACCGGCTTGGCATAGGCTGCTGTGAAGACAGCTGAAAAGTGACGCCTAACTCAGCCCAATGGATCACTGGGATGTGCAAACCGTTGCACAACACAAAGGTCCAGTCAGATCGCCATGGAATGTAAATGGCTTATACAGGTAATCTTTCGTAATTTCTTCAGCTGCCGCAATAAAACAGCGGAAGGATGGAGAGCATTTGTTATCAAGTTCCGTAGAGCGCCCGCGACAACCAGAAAGATGGTCGAGAAGCAGTTGAATGGTGGAACGGTATAACTGAAGCTGGTATATTGAACTAACGAGATTGACACACTCATGCAGTTGAACAAACGGTAGCTCAAAGGGTAAGATCGAGACGCGGTAGTTTCATTCCTAACGAACGGTAGCATTGTTGAGTGCGGATCTATGCTCGCCATCACCTGACCGTAGAACTAGTGGGGCGGATGGTGAAAGAAACCGTGGCTGTGTGGCTGCACAGAAGAACGCGCTGAAAGAGACGTCAGTTTGAGGAGAGTGGCAACGGAACTTCCAATCACCCTTTGCACCTTGTGGCTATTCAGACGGTCGACACTACAGCAACTTTATGGTACATGTGCGTTTGTGTATAACTCCGCCCACCGTATCGCTGCTGCTCTGGACTCCGCATTCGTGGACCCCTATCAATTCGTCCAGATATACAAGCGTGCATCGCGCCTACATATGTGACTAGTTAGTGCACAGTCTGTACCTGCTGTATCTCATCAATCAACACTTTGAGTCAGATGAATGTTGGAGGTTGCCCGCAAGCAAGAATGCAATCAAGGAAGAATTTCGTACCCGCTCCCACTCGTCACGTATAAATAGCAACATTGAGAATAGAACCCGAGACGCTGGGACGTCAGCCGAAGCCTCTAGCTCACAAAGTCACCGAGTAGCGGAGAGTAACACTTGTCACAACAGTCAATGATAATTAGAGTGGTCATTTCGAATTACACGTTGTGTGAAGTTTGGGTAGTTGTTTACGCATCGATTGACCGGTTCAAGGCCACTTGCATTTGTGACAGCGTACGAAATTGACGGCTCGGTGTGTATTGACTGGGAGCTAATTCGTCGCTGGTTGTTGTCGACTGAAAGCGTAAAAAATTGTGTTTTGTCCGTGTATGTTATTATTGTCTTGTAAACATCACTGTAAAATTTAGATCGAAATCGTGGTTTAAATAGTTGCGGATCGTTCTTACGCGCGGCTAAACGCCAGCGTTTTGATCGTTACGGTAGGAATTTCGATCCTCTGCTCTGTCAGTTGAAGGTACAGCAACGGATGAGATGGGTGTCAGATGGTAGACGCTCAATTAACCACTGTACCAATTCAACATAGCCACCCCGCGATGTCAGTGCTCGAGATGCACTTGTAGACATCAGACATTGGCTTAACGAAGCACGGTGCGGTTTATACGTCAGTTCATTCTTCGAGCTAATCTGAGGTGAATGGAACCTAGTCACTGTTGTAAGAGCAAGAAAGGTTCACAAATATACAACCAAAGATCAAGTAAAAGATAAAGAGTGGAACCTGCAACGATGCGAATGATGGGCCATGAATAACTGGTGCTAGTCGAAGACAGAGAGCGAGTAATGGGCTACGAATATCAGTGTAAATGGCAGGAGAGATGAATGAGTAACACGGGGCTAAGTTAGTAAAGGCCATCTATAGTCTGTATTAAGCTGCCTGATATGCATGGATGATATTCCTGTAAAAGTATACCATGCACCTAGGCTTGAAAGTGCGGCCGGTCGTGTGAGGTCAGAGGACGCAGGAATATTAAGGAAGTTGAATGACCGAACCGAAAGGCATGGTCGTGAGGGCGCTTATCGTGCATGGATGTAGGTTAGATCACATAACGGTTTTCTTTAGCGTGGTGCAGTCGATCAGCAGGTGGCGGTCTCGCGTTAACAACATGTTGTTCAACTATAGTCCACTGGTTCAAATGCTTAGGTAGGTTTCACCCGACGTTCCCAGGTTAGTGACCTTCCCCTCCCCATTCAGCAGTGTAGAGTTCGGTAATATGACCCGACGCCTCCGGTGTTCGGAACAAAGTGAACAGCAGTCGAACTCAATCCCGTGTGTTGTCAGCAATCACCTGTGAAATAAAAAGCTCCAACGTGGAAAGAAGAAAATATAAGCGCGCAAACCTGAGGGATCACTTTGGGAGTAACTAGGTCAGATAAAGAATGGGAGAACACACCTTCTAGTTCAGCGCTCGTAATATGCAACTCGTCGGTCAGCAATTCCAAACGGGCCAAAATACTCCGAATCAAGTCATCTCGAAGAGCCTGTTGAAGGAAAGAGGGGACAACAGACAAACAACGGGATACGGGAGTGGTTAGTCACTGTATGCCAGTTAGATGCTGAAATAAGGACAAAGTATATTGCGTAGCCACATGGGAGGAACAGATGCTCGTAGGAGCTGAGACAAGTGTGCGTTAAAGAAAGGCCGACACACCAGTAACGTCATGCAACAACACTGAGCACCCAAGCAGACTTGTGATGGAGTGCCGAGGTTGAACACAAGATTGGCTAAAGACCCTTGTTGAAGTGACACAGTTGAAAGGTGAATAGCGCTTTTGCATTTGCCGTTAGGTTTCTAGCTGTTGAATAAAACCTTCGACGATTCAACGGTATGTTTCCTGGATATTCTATCTAATATCTCCAATTCGATACCGTTGTTTTACGTCAATATTAACATGGTAAGTAGAACCAAGGAAAACAGATCCGTTGCATTACAGTGAATGGACCTTAGTTCATAGAGCGAACTGGTGCTTGGCATGACGAGTACTCAACCATGTCATTAGTGCAGGAAAAGAAAACGTAGAATGGGCATCCATTTATGATCAATTCGACCACAAATACGAAGGGGGAGATAAAGGATAATCATAATGCACGATACTTGCAGAAGCGAAACAAGAGGATGACTAGCCGTGAATCATCATCCAGGATCACAATTCGCGGTAGAAAGAATTCAGATCTAAAAGTGCGTCCCATCGCCATCGCTTCAAGGCAGGCAATACTTTAAGCCGCAACGAGCAGTTGAGTCGAAGCTTACTTTCAAGTCAAGCAATGTGTGCAGTTTATCTAGCGTCAATATGTAGTAAATGGATACTCCACCTGGAGCGGACAGGTATGTAATGATAATTGGGCCTCCGCAGCGTGATGAATGCAAACGGTTTGGAGTGATATAAAGAAAGCCGACGCCTCGATAACGTTCGCATGAACATCCGTAACCTTAAGGGCAAAGATGATAAGTAGCAACCATCGCCTTGAAACAACCTCTCCATTGTCAGAATTCACGAACGACGCCTTCCCACTCACCACCAACAATGTAGGCAGGTTGCCGGGTCCATGTGTCGTGTTTCATTTTAACGACGTGGCTGCATGTCGAATTCCCACCAGAGCACATGTAACTCGACGTTTCACGTCGATGACGTTAGAAGTCTACTTTCCAAAATATCCCATCCAACGGGGTAATAGACGCGGTTCAGAATGCCGACATGTCCCAGCAATTGTCCTAGTAAATGAAGGCCTTCCTGCACCCGTGCTCTGGATAATCCGTAAGAGCGCTTGGCTATTTCCAACAGAAATAAACCTCATAATTTTACGTTATCATCAATACACGTTAGCTGAGGGTGAGAAACAGAATTCAAAACAAAATGATGATACTAAACATTACAGAATGAAAATTGTAAAAAAACAAGCAATGCTATGTACAATAAGATGCACGGTATGAGATCATGAGTGGAGAGGAAAGAGGGCGCGAGGGGCATGGACAAAGAAACTCACAACACGAACGCCACTGAGATTGGCTCCTTGCTATGTCAACCAGTGTATCCAATCAGGCGTGTTGATCGTCCTTCGAACACCAGCCCGGCAGTCGAAAAACATTAGCTGACGCCAATTTCGAAACGAGGAACTTCATTCATCTTGACCAAATCATCGCTTGGCCTCCCCTCCTCTTCTTCCATCCACACCCCGGTCGCAGGTCGCGGGAGACGGTGGGCTGGTACACGCAACATGTGGCTCAGCCATTGCAGTCTGGTGCGTGAAATAAGGGTGTTGAGCGGTTCAGTTGTTCTTCCTGCGCCAAACACAAAGCCGAATGCACTCATTGCTCAGGCGGTGTTCACACCAGACATGAGCTAGGCTGCGAAGGCAGTGATGGTCGAACGTGACTAGCCTCTTTATGTCTGTAGACCTGATGTGCCAGGATCCATCGCCGTACAGCGAGGTTGAACGAACGACTCTGCCCTTCAGGGTGCCGCCACTTGTGGGGCCGGCGCCACAAGATTGGCAAAAGCGCCTGGAGCTTTTGCTATACGGTTCATGATTTCTAAATGACTACCTCGAAGGGCAGCGCACGTGTGGGCATCTGCCAATCAAGGAGAAGTGCTTCGTATTTTGAGGATGCAAATCATTACTCAAAAGGACTAAGAGTCAATTCTAACCAGCTCAATGCTGTTTGGCACGTTTGGGAGCTGTCACAGATTAGGGCAATGTCGTCGGCATACTTCAAATCAATAAGTCGGCCACCAGGGAGCAGCTCTACACCTTTTAGGTTGTGTTTAGCGAACGCCGTTTCCAGGTCTTCGTTGATGGAGAAGTTAGGGATGAAAAGTGAGAGCGGGCAACCCAATGCTAAACCGCTGGAGAAGATAAAGCATGCAAAACTTATCATAAACCCTCACTGCCGAAATATGCGCGTACAACGCCTTGATAATGTTTACATATTTCGCGGGCACACCATTCCTGAGCAGACGATCCACCTAAAAGAAGGCATCTTTGGTGTCGGAAAACATGGATACGGTGGGTCGCCAATAAAAATTGCGGTGTACCAACGACTGACGTAAAGATGTGGTCTATGTAGCCTCGATTTGGACGGAACCTGAATCTGGCATTCACGGGTGCCAGCCAGTCTGTGAAGAACGACAGACCATGCTGAAGCGGCTCCAGTCTGCTGGGACAGTCTGCTACTCCCACAGCGTCACAAATAAGTTGTGTAAATCATCCCCGAGAGCTGGTCCTCCCAAGCTGAGAAGCGCTGGAGGGAGTTTAGCTGCCCCAGCGGCCCTATTCAATTTCAACAGTCTGATCTCACATTCGACCCCTGCGCATAAGGGCAGGTATAAGGGAACGGCTCAGAGAGAAGGGGGATCAATAGCCGATAAGGAAGATGGTAACTCTGACTGATTAAATGCTTTTCAAAGTGTTCGGCCCAACGCTCCAAACGTTTTGACAAACTGTGAATTGCCTGTTCAATCTCGTCGCGTATGGTCTCACTATCCCTGTTTGCCGTATCAAACGGAATAACTTACGATGGTTACCAAGGGTAGCAGCCGTCTCCATTTCCAATGCATGATGAGATCAGTAGACTTAGAGGTCCTTTTTCAGACTAGGGCGCGGTTTTGCTCTGAGTTCTTTGTGAGTCGTGTTGTATTCGCTTCAGTCGGAACGCGTCGCAGAGCGTCCATAAGTATCCTCTTACGAGCCCTCGCTATTCAACAATGTCTTCAATTCCAGAACTCAATCAGATGTCACCTCAATGTATAACAAACATCGTGAATCTGAATCTCAAATGGAAGAAAGTTGAGCGCATCGTTCGAAATAACCGACGCTTCGAATATCCATCCGCAGTTCAGGCATGCAAGCTGAGCATGCACGCCGCTTCACAAGACTTCTTCACAGCGGGATTGAGAAGGTTTTGACTGGCACTCTGGCCACTCACCACATTCGTCGATGAGAGTTGAGAAGTGGGAAGCCTCGAAGCTTGTTGTTTCACTGAGACTAAAAGAGCCAATAATGCACGAATATGCACCAAAGTTAGGTATAACAGACAATACTGTGTTGATGTACACTACCTGTAGACAATGTTTATATGTCCAATTTGGATCAATGACCTGTGCTGGAAATCGGTGTTGCGGATGTATCAGCTATGGTAGGTGCATAGCAAGCACGGACTCGGAAATGTCTACCGGGTGTGGTCCGGTATTCGATAAGTGGTTCAATCAAGCATTTGCCAACATCAATGATCTGCATATAGACAGTCATACGGACAAGAGATGACAGCCATCTGTAGATTCAGCCCTTGATGACCCCCAAGTCTAAGTCAATGAGATAATCAGCTAAACAATAAAAAGCTACCATGTGTTCAGGTAACGGATCATCATCATCATCATCATCATCATCATCATCATCATCATCATCATCATGATTACACGTTAGCTGGAGGCGGAAACACCTCAGCTATTATGCCGCAATACAAAAGACAAGAAAAGGAAAACAAACAGTGGCACGCCCGCTGAGTCTCCAGTAACGGATGGACATCGTTCCGGAGAGCTAACAACTGGCTGCCGTAAAAGAGAGTCATATTATGCCTAACAAGTGAGATCGTGATGGGAGGGGGATGCTAAGCAGGAGGGGGGGTGGACAAAGGAACTCACAACACAAACGCCATTGGGGTCGGCTCCAAGCCATATCAGCAAGTGTGTCCAACCAAACGTGTTCACCGTTCTTAGGACCCCAGCCAGGCAGTCGGGATGCACCAACCGACGCCAACTTCGAAGTGAGAGTTTTCATTTCTCTCGACCAAGTCATCAGTTGGCCTCCCCTCCTCCTCTTCCAACCGCACTCACAACGCGCAAACAATGCACGTCGCGGGAGTCGGTGTGCTGGCATGCGCAACACGTAGCCCAGCCATCGGAGCCTGGTGCGTGACATAATGGTGCTGAGCGGTTTACTCGCTCTTCTTGCACCAAATACGCGACGTCGAACACGCTCATTGCTCACGCGGTGCTCCCACCAGACATGAGCTAAGCTGCGAAGGCAGCGATGATCGAATATGACGAGCCACTTTATGTCCGTCGATCTGATGGGCCAGGTTTCACAGCCATATGGGAGATTTGAACGGACGGCTGCGTTGTAAACTCTGCCCTTCAGGGCGAGAGTAATGTCGCGTCTGCGCCACAGGTGGCGGAGATTGGCAAAAGCACCTTGAGCTTTTGCTATACGGTTCGTAACCTCATCTTCAATCCCACGGGCGTTAATATAGCTGCCCAGGAACTTGAATTCCTGAACGACTTCTAGCAGATCACCACCAAGCGTTAGCGCAGGGTTGGGTCCCTGTCAATCTTGGAGAAGTACTTTGCAGTTCAATGGAGTAAAGCATAGCCCAAAACGATTGACAGCCAGTGCTAATCGGTCCAGTGCTGCTTGACATGTTTGAGAGCTGTCACAGATTAGGGCAATATCGTCTGCATACTCCAAGTCAAGAAGTGGCTCACCAGAAAATAGCTCCACACCTTATAGGTCGTGTCCAGCGAACGCTGTTTCCATGACTGCATCAATAGCGAAGTTGAAGAGGTAACGGATACTAACCCATATGGCGTTTCGAAATTGAACTGCAAGAAAAATAGCGTCTGTTATAGACGTAAGGCAGTCCTGTTGGTCAGTTCTAAGTAAACAATTTCAATTTCACACTTACATATAGCAACGTAAGTCACTCAGACAGTCTCGAGAACAAGTACGGAAAATTGGACTCATCGGAGTGTTCTGTAAATACAATGGAATTGCGAGATTGTGGAGTGTTTGAACAACTATAAGTAGATGGACTGGAGCATGGAATTCAAACACTGGTAAACAGGTAGTGTAATTAGCATTGTAACGCTTACTCCGAATAGTGTTTCCACGGTAGTACTCGAAGGGAGAAAAGCAATGCCCGGTATGCGTCCATCGACTACAAGACGATTGATAGGAACGGAATTATTGGATAAGGAATCCGCAGTGTCTGTTCCACCTGCGTATCCAGTGTCAGAACTGGCACCGGATTCGAGCGAAGATGACGAACTGGCTCTTTGCCATCGCGGAAACTAAAAGTTGAAGCGCATATTGAGGATGAGCAATAAAATCTAGGACACGCAGTGTACAAAAATGTGGATGGGAATAAAAGTTCGGACACCGATAAAAATTCTAGGAGAAAAGTATAGTCAAGATGTCCAGTGATTTGGAAACCACAAGCATACACTTGTAAGTAAGCAAAATCAAAAGAGGAGTGAACAACGCACTCAACCTAGCAGTAATACAGCTGATAAACTAGTTGGAGAGGAATCACAAGAACGTACTTCAGCAAGGAAATGAAGAGTGAAGAAACAGCTGCTCTCAGGAAGGCGCCGTAGGTCAAAATTACGAAGGTTGCCAATGTGCAATGTGTCCATATAGACTTGGTGGTACCAGGTAAATAGCGCTTGCTTTTGATGGCATGATGCTTGAGATGTTGGTGCCTGGTCTAGGTGACCATTCTCTACAGTTGGTGAAAGACATTTGCAACTAACACGCTCTCAGATATGACGCTCCATCGACAACGTATGATGCACGGAAAAAACGTCTTCAGTCTGAAGATAAACAATGCTCGTTTACAAGGTTAGAATGGTGCAAATCTCAGGAAGTCAAGGTCATCGAGACATTGGTGTTAACACTAATGCCATCAAACCAGTAAAAAGCAATATAATGAGGTGGTACACTTGCCCTCCAGAATTCATTCGATGTAAGTCCGATTGGTTTTGACCCCGCAAAAGAGGCGATGGTCGAACACTCCATCCACTTTGCCGTGTGGCAGAGCAGCCTCACACAAATAAGTACAAAATTATTAAGATTGATTCTGGGAAAGCGAAGAACACCGCTGCTTCGACTGACACATCTCATTCTTACTGCCGCGCACCATTGAAACACGCGCAAGCGGCTGTGTCCAAGGGGAAAATCCATAAAATGTCCCGTAATGAGGCAGGAGAAGTCGTCTAATGGAGGCAACACAAACACATTGCTTGTCACTATCGTTAAAGTTTGAGAAACGGGGTTGTGGATGATTCGTCCGGTTGGTTCGTTAAGAGTGGAAAAATTGCCGTGTGATCAACTGGCATAACTAGAGTACTGAATGAAGCATCCATCCTAGAAGAGGAATTAACCCTTATGCAGAAAAGGTTGAACAGGCCAACACAAAGTGTTGCGGAATTCGGAGTATGCTTTATACTCTCCCCAAGTAAGTACCACTGCAAGACTTGATTAACGTGTAACAAATGCTCAGCTACCAAAGAACCGGTGCTAAACGGTCCGTCGCCCACTAACCTGTCCAATCAACAGCAAATATGTTACTCCCAATCACCATCCTACAACTTGTTCCTCACCTGCAAAGTATAAATTGTTGTCGCAGGAACATAAACCACTTCCTTTACGAGGAGGAACTGCGGCTGCGTCAGCAGCGACATGTGTATGATTGTTGAACATAGTGCTGTTGGTTTGTATCGTCTTCCAGATAATGGTCCAGGTAACCCACCCTGCGTTGGCTCAGAACTTCCTAGAGCATGGCTCGTAACCAGCACCAGTGGCGTGTTTGCTGTCATCTTCAAACAGGATTGACAGTTTAATCTGCATGATTATGGACTACTTGCGGAGCAGAGTTGTCTGTGGTACGAGGCAGTTAAATTCGCAAGGAAGTTGTGTGGCGCATATCGCACGGTGGCCAGTTAGTTATGACAGTGTTGTGTTAACAAGGCACAGATGCTGTGATCCCGAACGCTTGCAAATAGGATTCGGGCTTTACACTGGGTACACCTCCCCTCATATCGGTCCACATTAGTTAGATCATTGTATTACTTTTGTGAAGACCTCGTGGTTCCACAAAACGTCGCGCCCGACACCTTTTCTTGTCCTCCAAGTTTGCCAGTCATGTTGTCATGGAACGCGTTATCGACGACGTTAGCGGTTGGCAACTCTTACTGTCAGGTCGCGGATTGCATGATATCTTAGTGATATCGTTGTCAGGTGGTAATTACGTCCTGATTACCACCTTTGTTCTAGTGCCAAGCGATAGCTATGCCGTCTTCCTGATAAGGAGGAAACCAGTGGTATGAAGACCAGGCTGTAACAACCGTAGTCATCTTCACTGCGATCTGTCTTGTTTGAGCAGTAAACGCGTCGAAGAAGTCCATTATCCTATCTCTTTCTCTCTCGGGGTCGGGAGTAGTCATGTAGTGTCCGTGTTAGCCTCGGTACAATGTGGAAGAAGCGTTGGCCAAATCAATTGGGGCACGTCTATCCGAATTCGACAAGCCACTTGTCCGCGTGAAGCATAGTCAACAAGAACCGCATCGTTGTTCCGACTAATGGTGCTGTGTATCAAAGCGATCTGCTTCCTAAGAACTACTATGGCAGAGAAGCAAAAGTCTAGATTACTCATAAAGATGAAGATGAGCCCCAGCAACTCCAGAAACCCAAATTTTCACCTATGTACTTACCTGAACAGTTAACCGGAGTTGGAGGCTGGTTGATGGAACACACTAACAGTTTTAGGCGGAAACATAAGTCAACGTCATACGTGATGCACCGCATTGGTTGCCATGGGACTCGATTATTATGGCAATGATACTGCGGCACTTAATGAAACGTGGGTGGATGAATAAAGAAAGTATGTGACGAGGGTGCTGGTTACGCATTCGACTGAGTTTAGAATGGAACCAAGACACTACATGAACATGGTGTCGATTGGGCAATGACGTAGGAGATCCAAATGGCAGAAACCGTAGGTTGATGTTGTGACGTAGCCGCCCACTAAAGCGATTAGCAACCGTCCAAACGTGCTGGTAATAAGTGGCTTAGCTACCATGTGGCTAGTAGACGTGTCGTATTACTAACCCGAGACCGCGGAACAACCACTGAGTGAACACACAATAACTATACAAATATGCAGGTGGCAATTAGCTCAACACCTGGATGTCGTGTTGCTAACCTGAGATCATGGAACAGCTATTGACTGTCGTATGGAAATCGTTCAAACTCACAAGGCCGTGAGACACGACAGTGACAAATTCGTCGTGATGCAAACAGGTTCTTGAACGAAGTCCGCTTTGACTTTTCTCGCTTTCAAAGGAACACGCGGCAGGTTCCTCTAAGAGCGTATGCCGCGAACGTATGATCTCACTGTGCTATCAATCAACAACAGCAGTACATCAGCCATTCGAACTGATGCTTCATTGCCATACAACCAAGAGGACCTATGAAATAAAGAATAATAAGGGGAGAGAAGGGGACTTACCTAAAAATCTTCGTACAGTAAGCAAACATTCAGGGTCAAAGCGCCTATACCTTGTGTTAACAACATACCGTCACAAACAGCTGGCTATCGTGCAAAGATAAGGCGGCATCGGCGAGACAGCTTCCTTGCAGCGTTCACTGCCACGCGTCATAATCAGCCATTACCCCGCAAATAACTCAGCACCAAACACACTTTAAACAGGCAATCCGATTACGTGACGGCAGCAGACGCGCCACTGGTGTCTACTGCGAGCCATGTCCTGTAAAGTCTCGAGCCAAGCACAAGGCGAGTCAAGTGGACTCCAGCCCGGAAGGAAAGAAGGACCAATGGCACCCAGTTTGGTAGTCAGTGACTTCATTTCCCTCTGCCAAGTCAACTTCTGTCCACCTCGAGCTTTGCGCCACCCTACATCTGGCAGACTAAACAAGGCCCTCCTAGGTGAGTGGTGACCAGGCATACGTAGCACGTGCCCGAGCCAACGCAACTAATTCAGTGCTATCTGTTGTTCTAGGGAGCTAGCATGATTATCACCACCTAGTACTCGCATACGCACATCATCGTTGCGGATACGCTGATGTCATCCGACACCAGCAATGTTCTGCAGAAAACGATGATCGAAGACAGGCGCCTCAGATCTTCAGACCGAAGGGACCAAGTCTCACTACAATAGAGTAGCAGGCCCTCACTTTGGATTTGTATACACTGCCTATCAGAAGAAGGGAAACTCCCTTCTGTCGCCAAAGATGCCGCAGGCTCAAGAAGGCAGCGCTGGCCTTTGCAATGCGTGAGCTGACGTCAGTTTCTATGCGCCCATCGTTGCTGATCCATCGCAATGAGGCTGGACCTTACCGTGGTGCGATGGTTTGTGTGCCTCAGCGATCCATTGAGCTATACTGGGTGGTGCATTTTTGCACCTTCAGAGTCACTCATCCCAGATTGGTCAATGGTTAGAGGCCAGACAAACTACGCCTCCTGGTCCTCCAGGTTGGGGGTTGGAATGAGGGTGGCTCTTTATTCCTTAAAACGGACTCCTTGTGGTCCAAGACCAAACCCGCTGCCTTGCAGACAGGTTTTTGAATCAAAGGCTTTGGTTGAGAACCCTAATCGTTCCCCTCTCTAGGCATGGGCAACCTGACAGTATCCTGCACACGCAATACAATGAATCTCACTTCAAACAAATTTCTGATGCTCTAGTCACCGCAGAGGATAATCAACGGTGCTGCATCGGGCAGGGTGGATAGGGGTTTGGATACTACTGCTCAAGCCTTCCCGTCTTCTTATTCCCCCTCTTGAGCTTTTGCAACCTTATCGTCCCGTTACAGCTTCACTTTTATCCCCCCTGTTTTCAACCCCCCAATTCTCGGCCCTCCCCCAACTTTCTGTAATAGTCGCTTGCCTTTTAGTTTCAACTCACATGTGAACGCGGAGCGTCATTCTTGCCCTATCAACAGGCCCAGGTCCAAGCAAGCGGTCCATTCCAGTTCATCGGCTTCCATTTGGAACCCCCGATTATCCTTCAGATTGACATGCCTCAATGTTCGCACATTGCTTCAGATCGGTCAACAGGCAGCACTTGCCCGAATATCAGAGAACCTCTCGATCAATATCTGCTGCTTATCGGAGACCCGCCTGCAAGACTCGAGCACCTAACTCACTCTGCGATCCCCTTCAGGTGACACTAGCAGAACTTTCTCATTACGCCGATCCGGTGACGATGCAGATTCGAGCACCGGGCAAACCGGTGTTGGCATTGCACTGAGTCCCCGGGCTAAAGCTAATCTGGTTGATTGGATCCAATCAGCAGCTGAGTGCAGCCTGTTGATCTGTTTGTCTTAGAGTACAAACGTTGAATGTCGCCATGGAAACGGGACAGCGTGGCCTTATAAGCGACATTTGCCGATAGGCGTCCGATAGGTGCGGTGGGATGGTGGCTGCAGATGGTTCTACCCCGGTGGCACTTCGATTGCTGTCAATTAAGCTGGGAATTATAGAAGGAAGGTTAGTAATGGGGGTCAGGATGGGAGTAAGAGAAAAAGGTGGAAAAGAAAGAAGGGATGCGCCAGCAGTAGCATGTTTTCGCTTATCCGCCCTGCTGTATGCAGCAGATAAGGCGACCCTTGATAATCTGCGCGACGGCTGATGCAGGATGAAGTTTATGTTTGAAGAAAATGTCATGGTTGTATGTGAGCTGAGATACTGCCAGAATGCCCAGACCTAGACGGGAGAACGATTAGGGTCCTCATCCAAAGCCTTTGCCTCAAAAGCCTGTCCGCAAGGCAGCGGGGAGGTGGCAATGATAAGATAGACATAGAGCCAGCGAAAACCATGAAACGGTAGTAATAAATGCAGAGACCACAAAGAAAAGAAGGAGTTTCAAAACTCGTTTTTGTATTTGAACCTTGTCTTTTCTTTCGTTTTTTTCACACGCCGTTCTATCATTGTTTTTCTGCTTAATGTCTGCGATGTAAATCAAGAAAATCAAGACAAACATTTGTACACATTTTCTATTGGGCACGGTTCTGCATCATCTCTGAATGAAATTCCATCAAGCGGTATTTTTCTTCTTTGATCCCCCAGTCCGGAAGACTCACGGACCTACGACAGCTAAACTGGAAATCAGCGTTCTACTCGTGTCGCCACGTGATAGGCTGACTCCGCGATTTCATCTAGCTTGGTCCTGTGCGAGCGAACAGAGCGCGTCGGGGCAGCTGTTCGCATGGCATGCGTAAAACGTGGCCCATCCATCTCAGTTGGAGCAGCGGTACCAGTCTGTCAAGTGGACGTCCCGTGGTACCCAAGACGCGACGTCTAACATCATCTTTGCGAACGTGGTTCATATAATACACTCGAGCTATTCTCCGCAGACATCCAATGTCAAAGGCCAAAGTCCGACGCAAGTCATTCACACGAATCGGCCAGGACTCACTCCCATATAGCAGCTCAGCGCGAACACAGGCGTTGTAGACCCTACCCTTTACCAATAGTGAAACGTCACGGTGTCGCCGCATATGCCTCATTGGCAAATGCCGAACGGCCTTTCGCAATGCGGAGGGAAATCTCTTTTCCAATACTACCTTTAGCAGAGACAGTTTCCCATGTCAACAAAGTTGTCCACTTGTTCAAGCTGCGTATCTTGAAGAATGAGCACTGGGGCAGGTGGATGCCAATCCAGGACCAGGACTTTGCATTTCGTAGGGGCAAAGGTCATTCCGTATTTTGATGCTTCAATCACCAAGCGGTTTAGAAAGGCTTGTGTGCTGTGCGTCATCAGCAGGCAAGGCAATATCACCATCATAATCAAAATCGGTCACGCGGTTGCCAGGAAGTAGTTCTACAGCATTTAGCCGAATTAGGACACATTGCGCGACTACTCACGTTCATTGACGCACAGAATATTTGGAGGTTGTCAGCTCTTAATGGGTCTCGTTTTATTGTTACAATTTCGGAAACTGCATGATCGGGAGGAGAAGAAAGCTCACACAGCTTATATATTTGTGGATAGCTCATTAGCATATATCGTTTCGTTGGGCCTACTTCAAACAGAAGGGATTGAAGCTAGGTTGAACACCTGGGCTTCAGCTATCATGGCTTCGCATTGCGATCATCCTCTAGAGTAAAAGCCTTCCAGTGAAATATGTAGTGTAAGCAAACCAGCACGCTGGAGAGTTCATTTTGAAACACTCTATGTGTGAATGAACTGCGGCGTGCAATCGCAATTTGGACCGCGATTAGCATTGAAGTGAACGCCAGTCAATTCATTCACTCTGACCGCAAATGAAGCAGATAATGGATGTTGCCAGCACGTCTTTTTCAATTATATAACCTAAAACATTGCAGGTTTTGACGCACTTTACGAAAACACACTCAAAAATACTAGCAATGAAAGTACAGCAGTAAGTTGAACCAATGGTTCACTGCTGTACAGCCAGTGACTCAAGAGAATGAAGGATACTGAACGGAGACAAAGTGGAACCTAGAAGTTCTAAACAAACAAGGTCAAGACGCTTATAACTTGTCAATAACACGGGCACAAACAGCTTGTCATCAGTGAGAATAATACGGCATCCGCGAGACAGCTTCCTTGCGGCTTTCACTGCCCCGCGTCATAATCAGCGACTATCACGTAAATAACTCGGCAGCAGACACAAATTAAACAGGTAATCCGACTAGCAAACGATAGCAAACGCTCCATGGGTGCTGACTGGTAGTAGTACACAAGGGGCTCGAGGGCACCACCCAGTATAGCATATATTTCGAAGAGGTAGACAAACCGTTGCACCATACCAGGTGGATGGACCACGGACGCCATGTGGCTCATGAACAGTCCACACGATCGCTTGTTGACTGCTGCCATCGCGCATGAGAATAAACACACGGAACCCTTCAAACATTTCTATCATAAGAAATTGGTGCAAACATTTAATACACGAGGATCGCTAATGCAGAGTGTGTTTATTAGTCATCTAGATTTCCAGTAAACATATAAGGATAAAATAAAACAAGCCAAAGTGATCGTTTCAAGGATGCGGATGGCAGTGGAAATAAATAGCGACGAAATCAAACTCACTAACCTGAGGGCCAAAGACGGTCAGCTCCACATCAGCCCATGATATTTTATCGTCGCTTAAACCCTCTGATGGCCGTTTTTCAAGCGGCTGTTGGTGCACACCAACCGTGTCCGTGTCGGTGACGGCCTGGCCGCCACCGTAACCCATGGGTCGACTTTTAGAAGACTTCGGTAACTTTTTAGTGCGCCTCTGGGCTTTGGTCGGAATGCTTGAAGTTACTTCCGGTTGAGCAGGCAGAACTTTATCAGTGCCTTCGCGAAACTCACCGTTGATCAGGAGGTTTGCATCTGCCAGAAGAGCTTGTAAATAAGGTTTCACAGCCATCTGGAAGATAAGAGATAAAAAGACACATGGCTTCTATGAGTGTCTGAGAAAATCATCGCTACAAGCTGGCAGAAACTACACGGCGAAACTATCGGTGATAAGGGTCCCTGAGAACAGTTCGGTGGTGGTTCAGTTCAGCTTGTGTTAACAGCAACAGTTGGAGAGCCGGAGTGCAGTGAACCGAAGTGCTATAACTTACAGAACAGACACTGTAAGAACTGACAATGATAAGTAGAAATACAAGGAAAGCCATAAAGAAAAAGATCAACGATAAGATAAATGCTAACAGTCAAAAAGGAGGATCAATGGCCAGTTTTCAGAGGATAAGCGGAAGAGCACCATTTGCTCTGAGGCTGTACCGTGTTATACAAGACATCCAACCTCTTACACCGCCGGGTAAGCATTTTGGGTGAATTGCACAATGTCTATCATGTCAACTGTAGTTACTGTTCAGTTCAGCTAAACAACTACGACCGGCACACCGAAATGTGTGGGATTAAAATGTCTTGAACAACACTGTAAAATCAATAAAGTAGGCAGTAATTTAGTAAAAATAATCAAGTAACAAAAACGCTAGATGAATTAGCTAAAAGCCATAAATAAGAAGTGAATGCAACAGTGCCACTGGTTCCGTGACCGTGCTATAGCATGTAGAGTATCTAACCACATGTGGGTTCGATCCCAGAGTCGCTCTTCGAGAAAAGGGCAGTCACCAACCTGACTCAACCCTTGGATGAGTTTGTTCATAGCCGTCTACCATGTAACCTACTGACCATCTGGGGAGTGAACCTAACTGAGTGCAACATTTGGAACAGCACAAGCCGACGCAGTTGTCTGGATGGAATGCAAACCACATGACAGCCACCGAAGACGAATCAAGCTCGACGGACACTCCAAGGAAGTACCAGAAAGCTCATTACAAGACACCAAATGAGGGATTGCGTCGTTACGCATACGATACCTACCATAAATAAATGTTAGCCCGTAGCCTATAGGTAACGAGCTTGTCTCGTAATCTTGCGGCGCGAGTTCGACTCCGCGTAGAGGTGGGCGTCCTCGAGGTATACTCAGCCCGCATGCGATTAGTGGTGGTCGCACGACAGAGAAACGCCGTTACGGCGTACAGCTTACATTATTTTTATATTATATAAATAAAGAATACTGTGTACGCATCGATGATCAGAATGGTTTGGTCGCCTAACGCCCTAAGTGCAGAGACCATGTCTCTGATCCACATAATGACACCGGTGCCGCAGCGACGTCGTCAACCACTCCATTAAACATACCGAGTGATATGTTTGAAAGACCACATGAGCCACAGAAATACGTGCGTTAGTACGCTGTGATGTGACTATCAGGGGCGATACAGCTACCCATATATGTAAAGCAATTGACTTGTTGTCATCTTCCGTTTCGGCCATTAATTGCCCTTCGTCCTGGGCCGTCCTCTCGGACCCACCCTCACGCACAGACGACGAACGTGAAATCAGACTGAAAAAATTAAATGAGGCTGCAGGAGCAGATAGACTTCTTTCAGCGGTTTGCAAATTCTGGGGGTTAGTGTTCGTGGATGATTTGCATAATAGTGGAGCAGTGGGAGTAGGAGACTGTCCCAACAGACTAAGACTGCCTGTCAATCCTAATATTCAAGTGAGGCTCACATTCGGAATGCGGTAATCATAGAGGGATCAGTCTGATCTCAATTGCCTCTTCTTCACATAATCGCTGACATTCATGAAAGCCAGATTCGCTAGCAAGCCTGGTTTAGTCGAAATCGAGGCTGCATTGAGTACATCTTGAGATTACGCTAATTGTTGGAACATCGCCATTTTTATGGGCGACCCACGGTAGTCGTGTCTCCAGACATCCAAGATGCCTTCTATTTGGTGGATCGATGTGCCCTTCGGAGCTGTGTGCTCAATAATAGTGTGCCCGAAAAATATGTAAACATCATCAAAGCACATATATCGGCAGGATGAGGGTTTATGACAAGGTGTCGCCGCCCTTAACATCCGCAGCTGCGTAGGACAACGTTGCCCGCTGCCACCTATCCCCCTTAACTTCGCCGTCGACGAAGTGCTGAAAACGGCGTTCAATGGACACGACTTACGAGGTGCTGGGCTGCTTACTGGTGTGCGACCATTACTTTACGTGGGGTATAACGACGAGATCGTCCTAATCTGTGGCAGCTTCTAAAGGTGTCAAGCAGCACTGAACCGATTAGCACTGATACTTAGTCGGTTTGGGCTATGCTTCGCACCCTCGAAATGCGAAGATTGGCAGGGACCCACACCTGCGCTACCCTTCGAGGTAGTCTTCCAGAAATTTAGCTACTTAGACAGCTATGTTAGTGCCCGTGAAATAGAAGTTAAGGTCATGAACCGCATAGCAAAATCTCAAGGTACTTTTGCTAATCTCTGTCACCTGTGACACCGGCACGGCGTCACCCTCGCTCGGAACGGCAGATTACAATGCAGCCGTCCGTTTAACTTTGCTTTAGGGTTGTGAAACCTGGTCCACCAGGTCGACAGTTATAAAGAGGCTAGCTGCGTTCGACCCTCGCTAACTTCTCAGTTTAGCTCACGCCTGGCGGGAATATCGCCTGAGCAATGAGCGCGTTTGGCGTCATGTTTAGCGCAGGAAGAACGAGTGAACTGCTCAGCAACATTATACCACGCACCACGTGTTGCCCATACCTACACATCGACTCCCGCGACGAGGGTTGTTGACGTGACCGGGGTCTGGTTGAGTGAAAAGGAAGAGAAGCCAAATGATGAATTAATCAAAAGAAATGAAAACCGTCACCGGAATTGGCGGAAATTGGTGATTCCTGACTGCCAAGCTGAAGTCCGAAGGGCGAGGAACACATCTGGTGTGGTACACTTGTTGACATTGCGAGGTGGCGACCTCACTGGCATTCGTGGTGTGTTTGTCTCTCTCCTTCCCTTAGCTTCCCTCTCCAAAAACGACCCCATACCAAATACATAATATCGTATTTAGCATTATATTAACTGTCTTTTTAGTTTTTGTAGTTTGCAATGTTTAATAGCTTAAATCGCGGAACATTAACTGAGGTGTGCTTCCCACCCTCAGCTGACGTATATTAACTGATTGAAAACTAGTTTCACTTAATTAAACGCGGGACCAGCAACATATCTATAAGTACGGTCAGCAAACATGAAAAAGCGAGATTTAGCCTGTGAAAGTTACTTAAATCTAACGTATATGTGGATGAAAACAGCCGGGCTTCAAACACGCATAAAAATCATCGCTAGTTACACAGATACTATGATATATGAGCAAAACTTCACAGGCACTGGGGGTGGAAGACAACCAGTATCTTAAACTACACAAACTGCATTGATCAGGTCTTTCATTCATACACTAACGTAGACTGCACTGTAGCAATTCCTACATTTGGCTATAAGGCTAGTAGGACGCCGTCTTCATGAATGTCTGGAGCTTTGGGAAGTCTCAGGGGTTCTACCGATTCAAACAGTAACCACCCGATAACTTAGAAGACAGGGTTAATCAAACAAACTGCCTAAACGAACAAGTCTATAGAGTACAGTGATTCTAAGCTAATGGTTCAAATTGGTGTATGGGCCCAGACCCGTGGCGATACTTGGCACGTTGAGAGAGATTCATTTCAGTTCAGTTGATCAACTATGGTCCGAGCACCGAAGTGTGGTGGATCCAGCTGCCACGATTCATATAGCAAGAATAACGATAACTAACAACGGTAAAAATGGAAAAAGAAGGAAGTGCGTTAAACTAATCAGCATGGAATGCAAATTAACCACCAGATGCAAGAAACCGAATGCAGGAACGCCACTGAGTTCGTCACTGCACCGTGTCTGACACGGTCTCCAACCATTGGTGTGGACCATCCCCAGACACCCATCCACAAAGACGGTACGCACCAGCGTGAGCAAGTCTCTCAGTCAATTTATTCCTGGATCTATACCACTTCATGGACTGGTCACCTCGCGCTTTTCACCGAACTTGGTGCGGCCAAGGCGTATAATGCACGCTATGGAAGCCGGTCAACGGGCATACGGAGGACATGGCCTAGCCAACGAGTGTTCAAAATTCACAATACACCGGAGTGAGGCACCTGAAGGCCTCTGGCCAAAAAACAACTGGCGGACCTTAGTATTGCGCACCCGGTTTCCACTAGACGTGGGCAATACTCCGCAAACACCGTTGATCAAACACGGCCAAGCACATAATGTCTTCGAAGCGAAATGGCCAGGTCTCTGATACGTACAATAAGAACGGTTTTTCTGCAGCGTCGAAAACCCTACCTTTCACTAACAGACTGATATCCCACCGTCTCCAGAGATGGTTGAGTCTCTGGAAAGCTACACGAGCCTTGCTGGTACGCGAAGTGACTTCCTCAGTGATGTGAGCACTAGAGGTGACACAGCTACCAAAGTAAGTGAACCGATCCACCACTTCTAACGACTGTCCGGTGACAGCCCGAACAGGAGGTGTATCGGTCCAGTCCTGTGCTTTGCACTTTGAAGGTGCAAAGCATATGCCGAAGCGTGCGGCGCTACGCATCAGTCAATCCAGCAGTGTTTGCACAGCCACAGCGTCAGACCCAAGAAGAGCTACGTCGAACCGCATACTCAAGTTTGTCAGTCGGCCACCTGGCAGAACTTCCACTCCGGTAGAGTCTAAAGGAACAGTCATTTATGATCATTTCGGTAACAAAATTGAAGAGGAAAAGGAATATAGGACAACCATGGCTAACTCCACTTGTCGTAGGGAACTCAGGGAACAGTTTCCCGTAACCCTTGCACGGCCTCGGGAATCACAGTAGAGGGACTTAAGAGTGGAAAGGAATTTAGCCGGTACGTCTTTCATGGATAGGCAGTGGCACAACCTGTCGCTGCCAACAGAGTTAAAGGCGGCTTTCAAGTCAAGGAAAACCATCATAGTCGGTTGTCTGTATGTCTCTGTCCTAAAACTTGACGAAGGGTAAATATGTGGTT